CATCTCCTCCCTGTACGTTCCATCTATTTTTCCCAGCTCAGTCACGTACACTTCCCTCTCCTTCTTGTACAACGGACATTCCGCGACTACATGAACACGGTCTTCGCATTCGAAGCCGCAATCACATTTGAACTCGTATTCTTCCTCGTCTACCGTCCTATGTCTTCGTCGACGTTCTCGAAGGCCTATGTCCCCGGTCCTGAATTTGACCTTAAGCTTTGTTCCTGCATCCATTGGTCCATGTAGGTAGTCCTTGAACCCTATTCCTTCCTTCAACATTCCGTACACTCCGGAGGGGGGGGGGAGGCGAAAAACGCTGTGTCGCAATGCAGATGCAGCTGTAGATATCAGAAAACAAACATACGTCAAACAATATTCTCTGGTGTGTGTTGCAACGCGCACGAGCGTTGCACACAAGAGATGCGAGATGGACCAACACGGCGGGGAATCAGTCTGAGGCATGTTCCCAACCCAGGGGAGGCTGTCCAGCATCGTCCCCCCCCCAGACACTATTCGGGGCAACCTTAATGGAAAGACCCGTTACACAAAGCCATTCATGTACGCACGCTAGGGGAAGCTAAAACGCACTCACAGAATGTGCATGAGGACGTTCTGTGCGGCACGGGGTGTTCCAACACTATCCCCACCCCCAATGCGGGGGAAAAATAACCAGCGCCCCCGCCATTGCGGCGGGTCTCTCGCGGTTGGGAGCCTCATACCGCATCTACAAGCACAACGCGCCGTCGATCGTGCAGCAAATGGAGCAAGCAGCAACAAGTGACCCTGGCTTCGCCCACCTTGAACGATAGAAGCCGGTGGCAGGTAGGTGTCGTAAGCTCGTCGACGGCTCTCTTGAGGGAGGCCCGCACGCACGGGTCTTCAGTGGTCAAGCTTTCGTTGCTGTCGCCCATGAAGCCCATGCCGCCGTCCACATCGCCACCACCATCACCGCTCCCCTGCTGTAGAGAAGGGCCACGGGGTGTCGAGGAGGACGGACCCCAGCAAGAGCCCCCCCGTTCCCGTTCCCGCCCTGCTGTGAAGACGACGTCGTGTCCAGCATTGCGCTCGAGGCTGACCTGCGCCCGCGGATTCTCGTCGCCCGCCGCTGCTGCTTTTGCCGCCGCTTCTGCCGCCGCCGCCGCGGGCCGCCGCCCGCGCCCACAACAAAGTGCTCCTGGTTTGTGGTCATTCAGTCAGTGTGTTCATAGCCTAAGTCGACGGTTTGGCGAAACGGTCCTTTTGACCAGCTGGTTGACAGCAGTGCGCACAGGAAATTATTCGTTGGGACGAGCGCGCGCGCGGGGGGGGGGGGGGTATCCACGCCCATGCAGGGCAGCTGCCGAAGTGGGCACGGAGGAGGACGGAGGGGATGGGGAAACACGGCCGGTCCGCGTGGAGACGCGATTGTTTGCAACAAGCAAGTCAAACACAGACACACCTATATATTGTACCTCCAGTGGGAGATACACCCGTCCCGTGGAGGCTGTACCCCATGATCGTATAATCTCTTAAAATAAGACAGCCAGCTCACAGTCCAACCCAATCCCACCTGGGGGGTAGGACGCAGCACCGCCAGTCGAAACGACCGGGCTGCTGTACTGTAGGTCTTGGTCATCCAGGAGAGTCGTCGTCGTCATCGTGGTGACGCCAGGGCCGTCCCCGCCGGCACCACTGGTGCTGCTCTTGTTGTCGCCACCGTCCCCCCCGTGGTGGAAGGAAGGTCTTCAGATACAACCCCCATCCCGCCCAGCTTCCGGTGGACCCGGTGTCTAAGGGAGGCGCAAGCGCGGTGGAGGGCCGGGAAGCTCGGAGGCGCACTCGTCACTCTCGTTCCGACAGAAGGCCCACATCCGCTCAAGCTCCTGTATGGGCGGGGGGGGGAGGGGAGGCCTCACCGTAGTGGTCGGGGTTAGGTGACAGTATCTCGCGCCATTGGTGTTGGAGAGGCGCGACATCGACTGTCTAGACTATATATCCGCGCGAGAAAAAACTCAACAACTTGTGGCATGTGCTTGGTACGAATTTCATGTGTGTTTCAGGTGCTCCATTGAGTTCCTGTCAAGAACAAGCAAATATACGTCTCATGTTCGTAGTCAGTGCAATTATTGTTGGGAATCAATTGAAAAGGAGGTCCTCGTTGTTGGTGCGGCTTTCTTTGTGCCTTGCTTGTTGCACGCCAAAGTGCCAACCTGGGAAATTAACCCACTAGACTAGTCTAGACTATCTCTGTGACGCAAGGACATGTTCCTTATGTATCCATCCGCCATCCTCCCTTTCTTGGGACCAAACTTTGACTTATACTACTGCAGTAGATGCTCGCGTGGGAGCAAAGACGTGGGCGTTGCTGCAGCGGTAACAGGACTAGCGTAAACCGCCCAATTAACGAACGCTTAAGCCAACCCTCGCGCCAACAACCCATTCTCGGGCGTGAAAAGGATTATGAAATATTTGGAGATATCGGACGATGGGATATGTCGTAGGCTACCTCTCTCTAAAAAAAAAGAAAGTCGTTCGTGTCAATGAGACAGAGCTGATGCAGTGCATTCCATTGTTTAGCGTACAATGTAGGAAAACACCCCCTTCCCCCTCGGTGTTTGCCATCGGGGTTGGGTTTTCGTCGCTTGGCAACGACGTTGTAAAACAAGCCG